GCACCTCAGAGGGATTTGTTCCTCACACCAGGATCAAATGTGTCACTCGGTTTAAAAAAACGCTCACAGTTGTAAAATCCGATACGAAGCCGGACTTTCCAGGGAACGCCGAGGTCACATTCTTTAGGATATGGAAGCCTGTTTGTTAAGTTTCCTTACACGCATGGGAACGTTTTTCCACGTTTCTACCGCTGCAGGCCAACTTGTTGAGAGTCCCTTCCTATTCCTTTGTCACTGATAAGAGCGAGAAATCTGTGCTTGAGTCCGACGTGCCTGAATGCATTGTTTCAGAAACAGCCTTTCCTGCTTCACAAGGTAATGAGGGCCACTGGCTGCTGTTGGCCTACGATTAGTCAGGGTGAGGCCCGATCAGGCTCACCTGTGATCATGATCAGTATGATCAGCTACACCCATGCACTGCTCTGCTCCCAGCCTGACAGCTCCTCTGTCTCATCTGACCGTCAGCTTCTAGAACGAATCATAACTGACGCGCTAACATCGCCTCATCCTCAAGATGAAGAGGATGAGGCGTTTTTGTTTTTTCAACATCCCCAAACCCGGCACAGCTTTACTTAAACTTGATCCGCTGCAGGCACAACACAGTCTGTGCGACAGCTCCAGGGAACCAGCCTTACGTAAGCTCCAATGATGCTCTTCTTGGCCACCACGAAGATGAGGCAGATGAAGATGGCCGAGCCCAGCATGCTGACGGCACACACCAGAGGGTCGGCTCGCTCGGTCTTCTGGCGACACAGGCGTGTGGTGAGAGCCCCGATGACCACGCCTAACAGCCCCGTCACGCACGTGATGGCCCCGAACACCATGCTGTGGGAAATAACGCAGATTTAGACGAGCGGGTTTTAAAGAGTGAAACGCTGCGATCAAGGTCGCAGAAGAATGGCGCACTATAAAAAATGACAGTAGGTAAAAAACGCTACAATCAGCTGCTCACAGTGAGTGTGTCACAGTGAGTGTGTCACAGTGGGGTGTCACACTTATGCTTCCTTTGGAGGAAACTCAAATATTTACTTTCTATCTCTGATCCTGGAGCCCTTTACAAGCTTTCACAAGGAAACAGAAATCCCTCCGTCGAGTCGTGAGCCTCTCACCTGTCTGTGCTACTGCAAATCTCTTTTGTGCAAGCCTCTGCCGTCTTCTGCACCACCCGGGCTCTAAACAGGTAGCCAGGAATCCATATACCAAACGCACCCGTGGCAAAGGACACCGCTGCCGACGCCAAGGAGGAGAACACGTAGCTGCGACTGGCAACAAAGACACAGAAAGATCGTGA